TCATAAATCAAAACGTTCAGCTGTTTCAACAAATCATAAATCAAAACATTCAGCTCTTTCAGGACAATCCTGCTATGACTTTTGGTATTGTTGCAACTTTAGCTTTTTGAAATATTTCGTCTTTTCTGCCATTTTTTCCTCATTTTACATCCTTCACATCTTTAGATGTGTTTACAACATTTTACAGCCCCTTCATATTTTGTTCTGCTTCAGCTTCTTTCTGCAAATTTAATTTTTTATAGCTATTTTCAGCTAATTTCAGCTGTTTTGGGCTCCTTTCAGATTCTGATAACTACAACATTTTTATGCTTCTTCTAACTTATTTATGCAAGTTTCAGCTTTTTCTACCATTTCAGCTACCGTACAATTTAGCTGTTTTGTGCTAATTTAAGCTTTTTTAGCTAAGTCCACATTTTTTGCGCTCATTTAAACTTTTTTCAGTCTAATTCAACTAAAATTTTCTCGCTCCACTTGATTTCGGTAATTTCAGTTTCTTTCTGCCTTTTTAGCTTCTTTTCAGCTGTTTTTTGCTAATTTCAGCTTTTTTCTGATAATCTCTAATTGTTGTGCTCATTTCAGCGTAATTGGGCAAACGTGTTCCTTCTGCTAATTTAAGCTTTTTCTACCTTTTCAGATGTTTTTTTTTCTTTTTAGAAATATTTTGGCTAATTTCAGCTGTTTTCAGATAAATTCAAGTATTTTGTGGTGATTCCTGCTACTTTCAGCCTAATTAACTTCTTTCTGCCTGCTTTTTATGTTCCTTTCAGCATTTTTCTGTTAGTTTTCAGCGTTTTCGGCCATTTCAGCTACTATTTAGCTGTTTTTATTCAAATTTTAGCATTTTCATCTAATTCCTCTTTTTTTTTTTTTTTAGTTCATTTCAGCTTTTTCCACTTCCTTCTTCTAGATTAAGCTTCTTTCAGCCATTTTGGTTACTTTAGATGTTGTTTTTTTGTTGCTAATTGTAGCTTTTTTCCCTGATTTCCTAATATTTGTCCTCATTTCTGCTTATTCAAACCTAATTCAGCAAATAAGTGTTCTTTCTTTTTTCCTGTTAATTTAGACCTGTTCTTTCATTTCAGCATGTTTATTTTATTTTTTGCTAATTTTAGCTGTTTTTCAGCAAGTTCTTCTGCAATAACCATTCACACTGCATCTTTGCAGGAAAAGCAGTTTCTCTCGTTCGTGTTTCTGTTGTTAAACTGATCAGCATTGATAAACTGAGGCATGATCCCTTCAGCTGTTTAAGTAATATTTGTTTCCTGTCCACAGAACTGGAGTTATTTTGCTGACAGTGAAGCTGACAGTGTGAAAATGATGGAAGAAGTGGAGAAACTCTGTGACCGGCTGGAACTGACGAGGTAACTGTAAATAACCTGAGCAAGCTCTAAAATCATTGGTGTCATTACATTTAATGGTGTTCAAGACACGTTTGTGTAGGACTGGACCTTCCTCTGTCCACGCACGACCTCCTAACATCTTTTAGTTGACCAGTTGCGTTGGTTCACTGGGATTTGTGAGGAAACAAGAAAGCAGACATGACAGAATAGGAACATAAAGACGACCTCGGCATGAGCACAGAAGCTTTTAGTAACGAGTAGAATAAAACTTGTCGTATGCTCAAAGCAGCGCTGCAAATAATGAGATTTATAGTTTTGGTTTTGCTCCACACAATCATAAAAACAGGACGATCAGCAAAGAACTGTTTAAAAATATTCTGCCATATTAAACTGAGTGAGCTCTGATCTGAACCTAATGTGTGCCGGCCATAAAGAAAGATAAAGATGTAAATACATCAACACATTTCACTTAGCTGGTAAAGTTGCAGCCAAACTACGATTCTAAATAATAGCTGCTGGTCAGCGAGAGAGAGGATCTTTGAACGTTTGGGAATTTTGTTGTTTTGAAGTATTCAGATGATTAACACAATGCCAAGTCAGAAAGACAACAGCAATGATCTTAGAGAAGCAACTGTTGTGTCCCATCAATCTGGGAATAATTATGGTGTCATCTGCAAATGATTTGGAGTTCATGTTTCCACGTCATGAAGTCAGACTGAAGTGTCGTGAGAAATGACCCAAATCTCTGCAGCTCAGTGTTTGTTAGTCAGAGTTTCTTTGTTGTTCGCAGCAACAAAACTGTGTACACAGGTCCCAGTTACATCCAACAATAAAATGTAAAAGAAAACCAGTAATAAGATCTAAGATATGAACTAAGAAAAACATCAGCTAAAAATAAGCTAAGCACTATTAGCATAAAACAATACGCTGACCAGCAGCACGAACATGAGTCTGTGTGAGAAGATGAACTCGCATGAACACAGTAACATTGAAACGGATCAGCAGTAACATGAAACGGATCAGCAGTAACATGAAACAAATCATCAGCAACATTGAAACGGATCAGCAGTAACATGAAACAGATCATCAGCAACATGAAACAGATCAGCAGCAACATTGAAACAGATCAGCAGCAACATTGAAACAGATCAGCAGTAACATGAAACAGATCAGCAGCAACATTGAAATGGATCAGCAGTAACATGAAACAGATCATCAACAACATTGAAACAGATCATCAGCAACATTGAAACAGATCAGCAGTAACATGAAATAGATCATCAGCAACATTGAAACGGATCAGCAGTAACATGAAACGGATCATCAGCAACATTGAAACAGATCAGGAGTAACATGAAACAGATCATCAGCAACATGAAACAGATCAGCAACATTGAAACAGATCAGCAGTAACATGAAACAGATCATCAGCAACATTGAAACGGATCAGCAGTAACATGAAACAGATCATCAGCAACATTGAAACAGATCAGCAGTAACATGAAACAGATAGCAGTAACATGAAACAAATCAGCAGTAACATGAAACAGATCAGCAGCAACATTGAAACAGATCAGCAGCAGCATGATATGTTTTTTCACAGTGATTATTCTGGTTAGAGATTCATGAGTCTAACAGCCTCAGGGTAGAAGCTGTTCCTCAGTCTAGTGGTTCTACACTTAATGCTCCTCAACCTCCAGCCTGAGGGGAGCGGGGCAAAAAGTGTGTGTGCTGGGTGAGTGGGGTCCTTCATGATGCAGATGGCCCTCTTCCTGCATCTGGAGGTGTAAATGTCTGTGATGGTGGGGAGACTGACTCCAACTTCTGTGCAGCCTTCACCACTCTCTGATGTTAGTACCAGAACATTACAGCAGTTTAGGTTTGTTCACTTGTTGAAGTTCTCCAACTTCTTTGTTTCATTCCTAATGACGTCTTTGAAATCTTCTGAACTCTGTATCTGTATGTACCGTAATTTATGGACTATTTAGCGCACCTGAATATAAGCTGTGCACAATAAATATATAAAAAAAATTAAATAAACAGTTTTGTACATACAGTATTTTATTTTTTTTATTTTTTTCATTTACCTTTATTTATCCAGGTAGTCTCATTGAGCCACGATAACTCATTTTCTAGAGAGACCTGTTTAGGGAGCAGATGGTGGGGGTTAAGGGCCTTGCTCATGGGCCCAAAGTGGAGCGAATGAGGGTGGGGGCGTGTGGGTGCTTCACCTACCCCACCCACAATTTCTATGTTGTCGGTGCCGGGGCATGAACCGGCGATCTTCGGCCCACCTCTCTAACCTCTGGGCCACCACTCCCCTTATTATATAATAATATAATACAAACTCATATAACATAACATATAAAAAAACTCCCCTTAGTATATAAGCCACACTTGTGTATAAGCTGCAGGTGTTCACGTTGTAAGACGAGGGGCAGCTCACAGCTACTGAGAGATGTGCAACTCTTGTTGTGGATCAAGAATCAACCACCAGATGGTGTTTCCTGTTCAACACACAGAGTGACCCCACAGGTCTTCATGACAACCACCTCCATTGTTACTCTACTGAATGGCCGGTACGCTTTACAGCAAGGCTCCCCTTATTGATGGCTAATACATAGTTTATAGATATGTTATTAACTCCTCTATAAACACTTTATAAATCATTAATAGTTGTTTATTATGCAATAATTAAGGGTGACGGAGACAAAACTGATCAATTTCTTGCCAAATAGTGAACCAAATCTGTTCACCTATAGATTTCATCTAGAGTTGTTATAGTAAACATTTCAGACTAAGTTACTAACTTGTGACCACAATAAACATTTGTAAACCTATTTTTAGGATATAATATTAGTTGTAGATCCTTATAATGCAGTGATATGTAGTGGACTAGGCCCATGTCAAAAACTAAGTCTAAGGTCAAAAATCTTGACCTTAAGAACCTTGTGGGACAGGAACTGTCATTTCATTGATTTGAATCCAGAAATACAGGTTCACCCATCCTGAGACTTTCTCTCTTGAAGATTCAAGTGAAAAGAACACTCTCTGTTTTATTATCATTACTATTTTACAAATGTTGATAATCAAAGTGTCTTAGTTCAAACCATTTTAGATGTTGCAGTGAACTAATCAATTTTATTAACTGTGTAATGATTTTTTCTCACGCAAAGTTAGAACTCATGTCAAAGCTGTTACAGAGTAATTATGCCTTTTCTGATTTCTGCTTTTGAATGAGCAAGTGTAAGTTGGTCCAAGGTTGGAGTCAAACGCAAAACAAGTTGTTGGCATGTTTTTAGAATCCTCTCAGACATAAATATAGAGGTTTTTGGCACCTGTTTCTGAAACGCGCCAAAACAAAACTCTCTCTGTCTGTGAGAACATTTCTGATCTTTCCATAACAATTCTTGCTGTCTTCTAACCTCTTACGTCACAAAACACACCCCGTCTGGTCGGTTCTGGCCAATGGTAATACTCCCAAAAGTGAACCGGGAAACAGCTCTTTAAAATGTCAGTACTTCCTGGTTTACTCAGTTCTGGTAAAGCTCTGCTCGAGATCTGTAAACTACACAGTTCTGTTAGAAGCTCTGGGATGGTGCTGGAACAGTTCTGGGACAGTTCTGTTCAGTTCTGATGGAGTGCTGTTGGAGTTCTGCTGGATACACAGTTCAACCAGTTCTGTGAGAGACGGGATGATCCTGACATGACAACAGAGCTCTTCCGAGTTCCATGGGATTATAACATTTTCACTCGCCACTACTTCTGACGATTCACAGCATCCTAAGGAGACGCTGGACAGGTAGCGTTAACGGAGCTCCATATCTGCTGAGATAACCTCAGAAAGGTAACGAGTCAAGTTTCCTACCAAGCGTACCGGGGAGAGCTGGGTTCTGACGGAGAGTGTCAATTCTGGTGAACACTTCCCCTCCCCTACCATCTTTACTCCCTCTAAACTTCTTTCCCATCTTTAAACTTTCTATCAAGTAGATATACTTCCAGATATTTAGAAATGTCTGTGTAAAATGCTCATCCACATCCGTGTGGGTAAAAGATCATAATTGTACAGTTTCATAAATGTCTGTGGTGAAGCAACGGAAAAATCATGGCCGTATGATTTTTCCTGATTGATTGCTTATGTTGTTATTTTCATAATTTGCCAAATTAATGTAAATGTTTGATGTTAAATTTTGATTCTGTAAATAAATGACCGCATTCATTTTGATGGGTCAAATATAAATGACGTCTCACGTTTGCATTTCATTAAATTCAATGCACGTTTTATTCAGTCCAGAAAAATGAGGAATCCGTGTTAAATGATGAATATATCCGAGCATCTGTTCATCTACAGATAAAATACAATATACGTCTGGTAAAAAAAAAAAAATGCAGTAGCCTACCAGGAAGTCATTGATCACTGTCTTCACCTTCCACATGTGCCGTTCTTTTCTCCTCTCCCTGTTTCATCAGTTCGACTGTAATCTGTTCTGTAATTTCATTGGTCAGATTTTTTTAACCTTTTACTTGTACAAGGAGTCTCATTGAGTCACGAGGACCCACCCCCCCAAGAGAGATGTGTATTGAGCAGCTCTGTGAACGCCTGGGTGTGATGAGGCTAAATGCTTTGGTGGCATGAAACTCGTTAGCCTGTCAAAAAAAAAATAAAATCCATAAACTAGCCACAGCATTGAATAAGCTGTGGGGTTCAAAGCCAGTGAAAAAAGTAGTGGCTTATAGACCAGAAAATATGGTAATCTGTATTGTAGTAATTCAGATGTTCCATGCTGTAAAAACTGTGTTTTTATTTTTAACTTGAGAAGTATGAATGTGTGACGGTAGTTTTTCTTCGTAGTCTGCAGTCCCTGAATGAAATCCTGGCCTCAGGCTCCAAAGAGGAGAGCAAGGCAGCGATAGAGAAGCAGGTAAAACCGATGGTGCATTCATGGTCCTCGTGTCTGGAGACCACCTTTCTATACGTTAGCTACGCCACGCTCTCACTTTGTTTGTTTCTGCTTTAGGTGGAGGAGGTGAACATCCAGCTGCAGAAGGAGAGGGAGGCCGAGGCTCAGGCCAGGCAGGCGGCTCGCAGCACGGAGCAGGCCAGCGGGGGAGGGGGAGGAGGGAAGGGTTGGAACGAGGAAGACCTGCAGCTGCTCATCAAAGCTGTCAACCTTTTTCCTGCTGGAACCAACGCCAGGTACTCCTGTGGGATTAAACTGTTCCATTAGCTTTACCTGCGTTTCCTTTCTGGGTCACTGGTGCTCATGTCCAGCAGTCACTGTGTGAGAGGCGGGGGACACCTGGACAGGTCTCCAGTCCATCACAGGGACACATAGAGACAAACGAGACAAACAACCATTCACTCTCGTCTAACATACCTGATTTTGGTCTGTGGGAGGAAACCGGAGCACCCGGAGAAAACCCACGCATGCACGGAGAGAACATGCAAACTCCACCCAGAAAGGCCACCGTCGGGATTTGAACCGGCGACCTTCTCACTTAGAGGCTCTACCAACTGAGTCACCACAAGATCCTGGTCACTGCAACTTTCCTCTGACATTTCCTGCTTGTTGCTGTGACGCATCAGTCCGGTTGTTTTGTTCTCGTTGCTCTCATGCAACAGCTGATGATGTTTCTGCCGGCGGGCAACGATACTTTGAAAGCTCCACAGTTTATCTGAAGCTGTCCTCTTAATCTGACAGATTATTGGGGCTAGCCAGGCAGGCCTATGTAAAAAAAAAGGTGAAACTATTTAAACATAAATTTTTTCTTCCAGATGGGAAGTTATTGCCAACTACATGAACTTGCACTCGACCAGCAGCACGAAGAGGACAGCCAAAGATGTCATCAACAAGGCCAAGAATCTCCAGAAACTCGGTATGATCAGCAGAAGATGGAAGTTTAATTTAATCCAGTCTTTACATTGTGTGAGCGCTGCTAATCAAACTGAAACTGGTTTTAAAACAACAGGGACAAAGGCTGAAATGAGCCGAACCGAGGCGCCAATGAGCAAGACAAACGTTGGAATTAAGAGAAAAGTAGCTCGAAGCTAATAGCAGTAAAACGGCTAAAAAAGCAAAACCAATGCTAAAACTAAAAGTTGCTAAACTGATAATAAAAGTAGAAAAACAGCTGCTAAAAGTAAAAATAAAAAAACGCATGCTGTGGCTAAAATTAGAAAAGATGTAGCTCTGAGTTAAAAAGAGCAAAATGGCAGCTAAAAGGAACAATGATGGGTACTGAAAGTAGCCGAATATCATTTTTAATATGAATTCAAGCGTGATCAATGGCTTGGTTCTTTTCTTGAAGAGTACAAGGATACAATTTTAGCTGTTCTCACATTAGTAGCCGAATATTCTGAAGTAGCAGCAGAACTGGCACCAGAGGTTCAGTAGCAACAGCAGCAGGTTGAAACTTTAAGCAAACAAGATGACTTACTTCAAAAGTCACCAAAGTATTTTTTATAAACTTAGTGCCACGAAGGCCTCGATGTCGCCACGGTCGTTCTGCTCTTCAGTCCACTGAGCGAGTAGTTGTCGTCTTGAGCTTCCACTGAAGGTGGTGTGTGCGTTTCTTCCCTCTTCCATGAGGATCTCTTGCTGTAATCAGCAGCACGTTGTGCATCGCTCAGTCTCTCTTCATTGGTTCTGATGGGATCGTCGTCTGTGGCTGCAGCAGGAGCTAAAAGCTCAACGTAAGGAAGACCAAAGTAGTCACTATATCGAAGCAGATTTGAAACAGAAGTGTTTTTGAAGAAAGCTGTTTCTGTGGGACATTTTATTGTAAAGTTAAATAACTTGATGTAGCATAGTAGTCTTGATCAAGATGATTGTTTTGATGGATCTTCTTTCAGCTTTTCCCTCTTCAGGGTTCTCCACAGCGAGTCCTCCATCTCCCTCTGTCCTCACTCCAACTACCTTCATGTCCTCTCTAACTGCATCCATACGTCTCCTCTTTGTCTTTTTCCTGCAGCTGCATTTCTACCATTCTTCTACCAATATACCCACTGTCCCTCCTCTGGACATGTCCAAACCACTGTCCCTCCTCTGGACATGTCCAAACCATCTCAGTGTGTCCTCTCTAACTTGATCTCCCAGTTGTTCAACCTGTGCTGCAGTGCCAGCCCAAGCCTCCATGGGGTCCTGAGTGAAATGTGGTTTGGGGCCCTCTATTCCTGCAGTCACCAGCCAGATGATCAGACCATTCACCACCTATAACATAAACTCATTGCAACTCTGTTTTATATGTAATCCTCTAGTGCAGGGGTCAAACTCATTTTCATTTTGGGCCACATCAAGCTCATGAATGTCCTCAAAAGGCCGGACTTGGCAGAATGTATTGATAAAACTACCTATTAACAAACTGGTAAAATATAACTATCTGAAAAAAAAAATCACAACTTTATAATGAAATTGTGTGTAATAGAATCATATAGAAATCATCATAAAAAACAAAAACCTCAATTCCACTTAGGGGGCCCCCTAGTGGCCCCAGGCCCCTAAGCAGATGCTTAGTTTGCTTATGTCTTGGGCAGGCCCTGCTGTGCTGAACCTCTGATGATCTCATTCCTAATCTTCTCCATCCTTGTCACTCCTAAGAAGAACCTCAACATCTTCATTTCTGCCACTTCCAGTTCTGTCTCCTGTCTTTTTGTCCACGTCTCTGTCTTCAGACCAAACAACATGAATTATTAAAGTAATGCAAAGTATACTGAAGTAGTCTGCAAATTAAAAAACACGGCTCGAACGACAAGAACGCAATGGTGAGCTTTAATGATCGTTATAATTAAAAGCTCTTTATTACATTTGGTTTATTTGACAGCTGCCTATTGCTGGAGACGCATATAAATCATTAATTTTAATAAAATGGACATTTAGTTTTGAGATCTTTTGATTTCCATGTTACAAAAGGACTTTGTTCCGTTGTCTTCAGATCCTCTACAGAAAGATGAGATCAACAAAAAGGCCTTTGAGAAGTTCAGGAAGGAGCACACGTGCGTGCCGCCCTCCATCGACAACGCCATGCCCTCAGAGAGATTCGATGGTAAGTGGTTTTCTACGACATTCTGAAACAAGTGGGGCTCTTGGAAAATAAAGACCCTCTCATTACTGGAACGTAGTGCTGTACTGGTTTGTTGTAAATGGTAAATGGACTGTACTTATACAGCTCCTTTCTATATTATATCAAGACACTCAAAGCTCTTTACAACAATCTGTGCCTCATTTACTCATTCATACAGCTCTATACTAGATCTCTACAAAGATAATTGAACAAATCATTCTAAAGAGACTAGCGATAAGATGAGATGGTTTCTGGAGTCCGCCCTCTCGACCGTCGACTCGTCCGAGGCAGCGATGGTGGAAGTGGTTCCAAACATCAAAGTTCATGCTCAGTAATCCCACTGAGCATGAACTTTGATGTTTATTGAAGCATGTTTGTAGCAAAACAGCTTAATTCATAATTAATATGAAATTAACAGCATGCGTGTGACTCATCACACAAGACTTCAAATTAAATCATGATGGAGCTCCACAAACACAGCTCAGCATTCTTCTATTGGAGGGGTGTCCAAACTGTTCATACGCAGGACAAAACTGTGCAGGTGAAAGTACTCGCACGCCACAAAAATAGAGTTTAAGATGGTTTTTAACAAGTGTACATATAGTGATTCCTCCTTGTACACAATATTTTGTAGAAAGGATCAAAGTTGACTATAATGTTGGTGGAGCAGGAGTTTTTAATTGTTGTAGGTCCAAAACATTAAAAGCCTTTATAGACATTAACTTTATGTTTAAAGAGTGAGAAGAATATTTGTTGGGCTGTTTTGTTTTCTTGTTTAAAATGAAAGTTCATTTTAGTTTACTGTCAGAAACTCGAGCGTAATATAAGTAAGTGTTTATAAACAATCACTAAAAAGTGAGTTGATCAGTCCTGAAACATCTACAGCTAAACAGATTCATATGTTCGATCAACTTGTATGTAGATGATAACACTTTATATTTCTTTAAATGTGTCCATTTTCCTTTGATAATTAAATACACTGCAATTTGTTCTTAGACAAAACTTGCTTCAGGTTTTTATGAATGATTATCCAAAAGTTGACTTTAGGTAGAAGTCAGTGAAGCTTTGTGCCATGAAAAGGAAATGAATGGGATGAATTATAGCCAGTGGTCTCTATTGTTCTTGTTAATTTTGCTCATTTCGAGATGTTTTTCCATCCATTTTGCTGTTAAACCAAAAAAAACCCTGTATTTAAAATAAAGGTTCATTAAATATGCAGGTTTACATGTGCAACAGCTGCTGCATGCTGAAATGGTCAGATGGCAGTCGTGGGCCACACTATGGACCCGTGTTAGACCAGTCTTTCAGTTTCAGCCCCTCTATTCAACAACTTACAAACATGTACATCCCAGAGGGGTTTTCCACTGGTCACCGTTGTTGACATGTTTTCAGTCCCTTTGTTCAACAAGAGGAAGTTGGCTTAGATTTCACAGATTTTTAATTCAAGGACTCAGTTAATCCATCGACACGAGAAAATTACGCAGAATGTTTTTACAAGTGATGTCGTTGCAATGAGAAACTTTGGGAACCAAGAGGTGGCCAGTGGTAAATGGACTGTACTTATATAGCACCTTTCAATCTTATTTCAAGACACTCAAAGCACTTTACAACAATCTGTGCCTCATTTACCCATTCATACAGCTCTATACTAGATCTCTACAAAGCTAATTGAACAAATTATTCTAAAAGAGACTAATCAGAGCTTTAGATCACATTCATACACTGATGGGACACACATCAGAGGCGATGAGGGGTTCAGTGTCTTGCCCAGGGACACTTCAACATGTGACTGCTGGTGGATTCGAACCCCCAACTCTTGCATTGAAGGACGTCTGCTCTAACCACTCAGCCACAGCCGCCCTGGTGGCCTAAATAGTTCAGCGACATTAAGAAACATTTGGTTTCTGCAGAGAGCAGTAAAATGAAATGTTCTTGGGTCCTTTGTCAAACCCAGTAAGATGTGGACACGTCTGAATTACTTCTGTGGAGCTTTTTCATGACATTTTGTGACCAGGTCAGAATGAGACCAGCTGTTTAACAATTTATGACATGAATAAGAATCAGTTACTGCACGTGTTGTGTGTGTGGTCCTGCAGCCTCTGGTGGTGAAGGTAATGCTGCCCCCTGGACCACAGAGGAACAGAAACTTCTGGAGCAGGCCTTGAAGACCTACCCAGTGAGCACACCTGAACGGTGGGAGAAGATCGCCGCTGCAGTGCCCGGACGAAACAAGAAGGACTGTATGAAGAGGTACAAGGTATGTTGGACAAACTGGTTTTATTGGTCTTCCACTAGATCAGTAGACGTTGCTATATCTACCTTTGTTTAAACGTGCTGAGTCATGCTTCTCTTGTTTATCTGACAGGAACTGGTGGAGATGGTTAAAGCCAAGAAAGCTGCTCAGGAACAAGTGGCAGCCAAGAATAAAAAATGACAAGAACCACAAACCATGATAGAATCTGTTATTTTAACATTATTGTTATTCTTTATTTTATAATAAAAACCTAAATAAACACAAGACTTAAATATCATTTCTGCTCCTTTGCTGTACAGTTCCTGTAGAACGGTTCGGCTCAGTTTCTCCTCCAGAACATCCCGCTCTGGATCTGGTTGTAGTCGGGCAGCTGTTCTATTGGACCTGAAGAAAAACAGTTTAACTCCCACAGACTGTTTCATGATGCTTTTATGTCTTAACAAAGATGGTACTTCCTGCCAGAGTCATCAAAGTATTTTACTCTTACGCCTGGGATCAGTAATAATTTATGTTCTTGGCTCTGATCTACATTTCAAGCTCTTAGTATGAAAACGTGCAACATACCAACGGCTGCGATGGCGGGGGCCCTGTTGTAGATGTAGTTTGTGCACACGTCCTTAATGGTGTTGGCATCAATAGCCTGCGGAGACATTTAACATTTGCAACAAAGTTCTACTTTAAACAAAATGAGCAAATGCAAATAAACATTACACATCAATTAAAGGCCATTCATTCAAATGTACTTTCTATATAAATGTAGTTACATGTTGCTGCAGTAACGGTTCAGTTCATTTGTATTTATGGACGGTAAAAAACCGTTTTAACACGGGTAAGGTCGACCGAGGACGACTCCTTACTAATGAATCATTTTTATTTAACCTTTATTTATGCAGGTAGTGTCATTGAGTCATGAGGAATCATTTTCAAGAGAACTGTTGGGGAGCAGATGTGGGGGTTAAGGGCCTTGCTCAAGGGCCCAGAGTGGAGGCAGGTGTGGGGGTTTCACCTTTTCCACCCACATTTTGATGTCGATCCAGGGAGTCGAACCGGCGACCTTCCAATCACAGACCTTCTCTAAGCTCTGTGCCACCACTCCCAGTAAGAATGTGAGAAAATTGCTGAATGCTCCAGCAGGTCTGCAGACCTCCATCTGGGCTCAGAAGACCTGGAAAAACTATTTTCTTGTCTGGAAGAACCCAGTTTACCCATCAACCCCTCAGTGAAGCATGGTGGTGGCTGCATCATGCTGTGACAAGGAGATGAGTCAGGATTAAGGGGCAACAGAATGAAAGTTTGGGTGCTCAAGACCTCAGAGTCCAAAGTCCTACGGTGGACCAGCCGAGCCCTGACGGATCCGATCTAAGGTCTCAGGAGAGAGCTGAAGATGTCCGTCCCCCACAACTGGACTGGGTTCTGATGGTTTAGGCTGCGACTCCAGCACAGATTCTACTACGATCCACTTACATCGATGCGAGCCTCCAGTTCATGCGGAGGGATCCTGCGGCTGTAGCACAGAATCTGTCTGCCGATGTCCTCACAGATGGGCGTGGATCCTGGACACAGTCAGTCCACGTCAACACGGAGAACAGAACACCACCATGACGCTCCGTCGTGCTGCCTTACCATCGAGATGCAACAGCATGTTGGTTTTGAGCAGATTCTTGGCCCGAGCCACCTCACTGTCTGTCACGCTGGTACAAAGAGACATCCTGACGGGAGAAGACCAACTTTCAGTATCTGAACAACGGGCTGAATTATTTCAAGTCAAAAGAGAAGAGAGCAGAAGTAAAGTATCAAAACCGTGGCTACAAACACATAATTAGATTACAAAGAGCACGAAGCTTTAAAGGATGTGAAGGAAAAGTTTTTCAAACATTTCAACAAGTGGTACTCTGATGTCCCCATCACTGACGGAGCAGAACAGTGGATGGAGTTTTACAGCTCAGTGTTTCTGGACTGGACGTGAACAGAATGAAGGGAAACTAATATTTTTGGTGCAACATATTCAAGTAGGTGGAAGTTGCACTGTGTATATGAAGAGAGGTTGGTTTTTTTTCTGTCCAAGGTGGTGCAGAGCGACGGACCCTGATTAGTGGAGGGAGTAATTTTATCCACCAGGCACAATGGTGGAGCCAGGGGGTGGCCTTCACCACCCCACTCATTAGAGGAGACTGTACTTTTAAGGAATAAAAGCTACAAAGCCTCAAATGATTGTGGTGGTTGGCATGCAAACACAGCGGTAGCCATCTTGGATTTTGACATGGCAACCCACTTTTGGACCCAATACCTAAAGATGCAGCTAAACGCTAAACATAGAAGTCGGCAGGTTGCTTCACCCCCCCCCCCCCCCCCCCCAAGTTATGATCACAACAGATGGTCAGATGGGGGGACATTTCCAATTGTTCACTCTGCCACAGGGGACAATAAAGTTAAATAATTCAAAATGACTGGTGTCCTGAACAAACGTAACATTTTTTTCCCTGAACAGCCAGCGTGCACACATCTTTACAGACACTACTCCATTCTGCGACTACAAGTCATTACTCCTCCGATGGTTCAGGTGGTTGTGTCTGCAGGGGCTCTCACCATTCCTTCAGAGTGAAGTGCATCATGTCGCTGATGGTGCCCGGCTCACACACCATGTAGAGCCCCCACAGGCCCGTGTCGGTGTAGCAGGTGTTGAAGGACTGGAAGCTGTGGCACAGGTTTCCCTGGCAGGCCATCTGAGCCAGTTTACTGGACAGGTTCTGGGCTCACACAACAAATGAACAAAAGATGAGTTTCTGAAATAAACACGCCTCCATTTGAGCTCTGAACACTCCATCTGGTCTTTACATCTTTAACTGACTGACCATAAAGATATACCACTAGAACTGAATGCTGTGTGGTTCCTCTGTACTCACCACACCTCCACCAAACGAGCGGTCCCAGTTTCCTATGAGTGTGTTGGCCACCATCAGGGGGATGGTGTGAGGGTGGGACCAGCCCACTGCCTCCACAGCGATGACAATATGAGCGAGGGGCATTTTGTCGTCACGCACACGGATCTGAAGCAGAAGCAGATGAGGTTTCTGCTGCAGTTATCTTTGTGGGACCCACAGGACAAGACTTGTGTATCTGAAGGTGTGGAGCCTTGCACACGTCTTCATTCCAACCACAAACTTTAAAATACTTTATTTTTACAAATAATGTGTAAAGTGTGGCGTGTATTCGTATTCAGAGCTGAGTCAGCACTTTGTTCAACTACATTATTGCAACTTTTGTTGGGTTTGTCTAAACTTTATTCCCACTCATCCACGGGTAAGCATACTGGTGGGCCGTGGGGGGAGGGGTACAGTAATTTGCTTAAGGACATTTCAGCATGCAGCAGGGGCTGGGAACCAAACCCTCAACCTCCAGTAAGAAGCCACATCCGTTACCATATTTGTACATCTAGAGACTGAACTTCTTGTCCATTCTTTACAAAACAGCTGCAGCTCGGTCAGATTGCACGGCGAGTGTAGATCTGAGCCATTCTCACACATGAATATTTATTTTATTCAAAACAACTTCCAAAATCCACTCCACTGTAGCTCTGGCTGTGGGTTTGGGTGGTTGACCTGCTGGAAGGTGAACCTCCACCTAGGCCTGTCACGATAACAAATTTTGCTGGGCGGTTAACTGTCTCAGAAATTATTGTGATAAACGATAATGCTGTTTGAAATTTGACATTAATTTGTAATTGTCAAATTTAAGAAGAAATGTTGGTACAAGTGTTACAAGACATTTATCCTCAACGACATTTTTAATGATGAGGAGTTGGATTTTCTGTTCGTCACAGAATCTTGGATTTCTGATGGCGAGTCCAGCGCCTTGGTGGAACTACTACCCCCGGACTGTCTGTGTTTCAATGCCCCGCGGCCATCAGGTTGGCGCGGGGGGGGGGGGGGGGGTGGATTATTAACAGTTTTTAAAGCAAACTTGGCCTGTAAACAGTTGTCCATCCCGGTGTCCCGCGCCAGCTTTGAGCTGAGCGTTTTTGAACTTGGACACTCTCCTACGGTTCTGTGTGCACACGTCTACCGCCCACCTCGTTCTAAGGACTTCATAAATGAATTCTCTGACTTTTTGGCTGATATCACACAGAGATACACTCACTTTTTGTTTATTGGTGACTTTAATTTGCATGTGTGTTGTCAGGAGAAGCCCTTAGTGAAGGACTTTCTAGATTTATTGGACTCTTAATTTAACTCAGCAAGTAAACGGTCCCACCCAGGAACACGGTCACACGCTGGACCTCGTTTTAACACGCGATGTCTCTGTTTCTAATTTGAAAATCGATGACAATGTTTTTTCGGATCACATGCCTGTATTGTTTGACTTCACCCCCCCGGTCATACTGCTAAGACGTGCGTTCCTGCACGTACGCGTTCCATTAACTGTTTCACTGCTGCTCGTTTTAATGAAGGTTTTAACTCTGAGAGGATCGAACAGCTCTCGGTGTCTCTTACCACTGAGGAGCTAACCTCTCAGTTCAACTCTGCCTGTTTAAATGTTCTGGACCGTGCTGCTCCCCTTAAGACCAGAAAAACGAAACTTAGATCAGAGCCTTGGCTGAATGACGTCACGCGAGCCGTTAGGTGGCAGTGTCGCAAAGCTGAACGAAAGTGGAGGAAGGACAGGCTCCAGGTGTCTTTTCAAATGTTAAGGGAGAGTTGGCGTCACTATCAGAAAACCGTTAAAGCTGCCAAATGTAAATTCTTTTCTGATTTAATTGTCTCCAACTCCCACAACCCCCGAGTTCTTTTCTCCACCCTGAACTCAGTTCTACGCCTCAGTGAGCCTTCACCTCTGGAAGCCTCAACTGAGCTGTGTGAAAACTTCCTCCATTTCTTTTTAGAAAAAGTGGCAAACACCCGGGCACTCATTTCTCCACCAGCTCATGATCTGTCCATCCCATCTCAGTGCGTGGCTGTGTTTGACCACTTTGAGCCCATCTCTCTGTCCTCTCTGGAGCAGGTAATGTGCAGCATGAAGCCATCTGGTTCCCCCTTTGATGTGGTCCCCCCTCGACTACTAAAGGAAGTTTTTCCTACCCTGGGTCCTTTTATTCTCGCTATTCTGAATAGCAGTTTATCCTCAGGTGTGGTGCCAAAAACTTTTAAACATGCTGCTGTCCAGCCCCTCCTGAAAAAAACCTAACCTTGACCCCTCAGTCATGTCCAACTTCCGGCCTGTCTCCAGACTCCCATTCACCTCTAAACTACTGGAAAAAATTGTGGAGTCTCAGTTGAAACAGTTTTTGGGGGATCACGCTATCCTTGAGTTATTCCAATCTGGCTTCAAATCTCTCCATAGCACTGAAACTGCTCTACTGAAGATTTTTAATGACATTTTCATATCCACAGACGCAGGTGATTCTGTGCTGCTTGTCCTATTGGACCTTACATCTGCTTTTGACACCATCGACCACAACATCCTTATTTCTAGACTGGAGCAGTGGGTGGGCATCACAGGGTCAGCCCTTAAATGGTTTGGGTCCTACCTCTCTGACAGAACCTTCTGTGTCAATATCAAAGATTTTAGTTCGGCATCGACAGCGCTCCAGTGGGGGGTACCGCAGGGGTCCATCCTCGGTCCCCTTCTCTTTTCTTTATACCTGCTGCCACTAGGTGCTATCTTCCGCAAACACGACATACCCTTTCATTTCTATGCCGATGATTGCCAAATTTACTTCCCCCTGAGGCACAGAGGCACACGCTCTATTCAGCCTCTTCTTGACTGCCTGGCTGACATCCGGGACTGGATGGCTTTAAACTTCTTAAGCTTCAATGAGAAGAAGTCTGAAGTCATGCTGTTCCATCCCAGTGGCTCACTCATGAACCATGACATTGACCTTTTCTCTCTAGCCCCGCTAGAGAAACAAAAGGTGACTAATCTGGGGGTGATAATGGACCCGTCCTTAAAACTCAACAGTCACGTAAACATGATGGTCAAATCCTGTTTTTTTCAGCTGAGACGGCTGTCTAAGCTGAAGCCTATACTCAACAAAAAGAACATTGAGACAGTGATCCACGCCTTCATAACATCTAGGCTTGATTACTGCAATTCACTTCTGTTTGGAATCAGTCAGTCCTCCATTGCTCGTCTACAACTGGTCCAAAATGCTGCAGCCCGATTTTTAACTGGTACAGGCTATAGAGAGCACATCACGCCAGTTTTGGCCTCCCAGCACTGGCTACCCATTCACCTTTGGATCCAATTCAAAATTCTCATGTATGTTTTTAAATTACTGAACAGTTCCGCCCTGTAGTGAACCTGATCTGACCCCAAATCTTGACCAGATGAACAGAGACTGTTATTTCATTGATCTGCATCCAGAAATACAGTTTGAGCCATCTGGTGACTTTCTTTCTTGAATTAATCAAGCAGAAAAGACAATTCTCTATGATCATTTTTATTTTACAAATGTTTGATAATCAAATTGTGTTAGTTTACTCAATGTTTACAGGTTGAAGAAAACTACTCATTTTTATTTTACATAAACAGTAAGTAATGATTTTTATTCCTCATTCAAAGAAGAAATCAGGTTAATATGCATTTCTTGATTTTCTGTCTTCAATGAGCCAAGTTTTGTAAGTATGTTAAAAGTCAGGTTTCGGTCAACTAAAATGTTTACCGAGAAAAAATGTCATGTTTAATCTTTACAGAAGATACAGAAGAGTTTGACTCCATGAAGTCTGGTTTTCTGCAATAATCTTTCTGTCTGTTGTTAAACAATCTCATTCTCTGACCTCGACTTATGATAACATCTTACATACAAACCACACCTTTTCCTGGTCCATCGACCAATCAAAAAGCTCTCAAATGACCCAGAAGTCGACCCATTTAAAATGTGGCAACTTCCCAGTTCATGTAGTTGCGGAGTTGCTCCGGTTGCTGCAAGTTGCTGCGCTCAGAAATGAGTTCAACTAGAGAGTGCAAAAGTCTGAAGTCTGAAACCAGACGCTGAAGATTAATGGAGCTAAAAAGAGTCTGATGCTGCAGAACTCTGAGAGTTCCACAAAGAGAGTGCTGATGAGTTGATGGAGTTAGAGTTCTTGGATGCAAACGCGTTCAGGATGATCCAGAGACGTTTTGGGATTATAACTTCTGTTTGAACAACCTCGTACGACTCTTCGAAGGATTTCAGCTGCTCTCAACGGGGACGCTGAAAGAGTCAAGGAAGGATCCTATACCGAGCTGATTTATCATCAACCAGGTAACGGTTTCTACTTCGACAAGCGTACCGTCGCAAGCTGAGATCTGATGGAGCGTGCACGTTTTCTGGTCAAACAGATTAATTCCCTCACAAATCTCTCTGTAAGATAAATCTCCATTTCCATCTTAAACTCTGCTTTCTCTTAAAATCAGTACAGATAATTTAGAAATATCTGAAGCAAAGTCCTCAATCACCGCCGTGTGATTGAAGCCCATTTTCTGTGAAACTTGTCTGTTATTATTTTCATATTTTGCCAAATTAATGTAAATGTTTGATGTTAAACTTTGATTCTGAAAATAAATGACCGCATTCATTTTGATGGGTCAAACATAAATAACGTCTCTCGTTACATTTCTGTTAAGATTCAATGCACGACATTTACACAGTCAGAAAGATGAGGAACTCGTGAAAAGTATGCATATATTTCCCTATATGTCATACTACAGTTGGTGGCCCGTAACGTGCTCATAAATGACTGTAAATTCGTGTAAGATTGATTTTTTTACATGTTGGCATAAAAGAAAAATAACAGTTGTCAGCTGTGATTGAACGCAGCGCGCTGCTGAAGCTGCTGCACCGCCTGAAGTCAAAACGCTGCATGTTTTTAAGCGTGTTGGTCTGTGAAGCTCACAGAAAGCTGAAATAGTGTCATAAGTCTTTATGAAAGCTGAATTTGTACGCCTGTTATCGTAACTAAAAAGGTTTTGAGCTGGGTGAAAACGCTCTATTCTGTTTAAAGACGGTCCAGATGCGGTTCTGGACGGTTCGGTTCTGTTAAGTTCGAACGAGTTGTTTTAAACGGTTTAA